GACTCACTTCAGATTAAAAGACACACAGACTAAAAGGAAGGGATGGAAAAAGATATTGCTTTGATGGACCTAGAAGGTATTTAAGTCAGACACAGAAAGATAAACACTATATAATTTCACTTATATGCGGAATCTAAGGAATAAAAAGAACAAACTAATCAAAAACAGACTCACAAATTTAGTAGACAATTTGGTGATGGACAGAGGGGAGGGAACATGGGGAGCTGGAAGAATGGGGTGAAGGGTTAAAGAAGTTCAAATTAGTAACTGATGAATGGTCACGGGGATGGGGAGCACGGCATAGGGAATGCAGTTAACACTAATACATCGGCTAGGTGGAGGGTCAGGGGAGGGAGGGAGCAATTGGGGGGATCGTTTTATGAATTATATAGTTATATAACCAATGTACTGTGTACTTGAAACTAATTAAAATAAATAAATTAAAAAACAGGAAAGAGCAATGAGTAAAAACAGAGATGAAGGGAGAGAAGAAATGAGATTATAGGCAAACTGCAGCGTTCACTCCTGTCACTTCCTAGGTAAGCCCCGATAGATCCTGGTTGTTTTTTTTTTTTTTTCCATTTTTCTGCATCTCTATCACTGTCACCCACTGGCTGTCCTAGGAAAATCACCTGCTTATGCCAACCCCACCCCTTGTCCCAAGCTGGAGCCAGGACCTTGGCACCTTTCCAATCCAATCCTATTTTGCTACAGAATTCTCCTCTGCAGAGCGCTGGCCTTCCCTTTCTACCCTCAAGTGGGCAGCTGTGTGGTAAGAGAAAAGGACATTGGCTTTGGAGTCAAAGCTACCTGGGTTTTAATTCCAATTGGCTGTGTAAACATGAACCCCTCTTTATTTCATCTCCACTCTCCTCATCTATAAAATGGGGGTTACTTCTCTCTTACATGGTTGACATCAAGATTAAATGAAGTAATGTATCTATAAGCACATGGGAGGGAATGGCTGTTCGGTAAATCTTAGTTCCCTTTCTCTTTCCCCAGTTCTTGATGCTACTGGAGACAATCCAGTCCATTGCTGGAGGACTATAGTTATTTACATATTTTTTTCTTAATCTTAGCTGAAATCTGCTTCTTTATAACTTCTACAAGTGGTCTCTGTTTGGGCCACTGGAGCTATCCAATCTGCTTTCTCTGCAGCTTTCCACATAGTGGTTGGATAAATCTACTCTAGGTTTACTAAGTCTTCTTTTCTCCATCTCAAACACCCCTGATGCCTTAGATTTTTTTCTTACATGACCTAATTTCCAGGTCCTTTTTCATTCTGGTCACCCTCTGCTTGGTCAAAGTTTTTAATTAGACACTGCTCTAGCTGTGATTGGGCTATGTGGAGTTCCTAGGGCACAGTACAACAACTCAAATCAGTGTAACAGTCTGTTTATTGAGTGCCTGCTTTGGATCAGGCATTGCGTTGGCCTCTTGACTAAAAAGGTAGGTCAGCCATTGTCCTTGACTTCCAGCCATGCGCAATGTAATAAGCACTATACTAACTAAGAATAAAGTATGAGCAAATTCCTCTGTTTGGCTGATTTGGGGAAGATTCCCAAGAAGCGAGGTTTGAACTGGGGTTGGAAGAATTAGTAAGATATCACCAGTTAGAGACTTGAGAGTGGGAAGGTCATTTCAGGCAGGGAGAGAGAATGTGAAGGCAGAGGAAGATGTTTTATGGATGGAGAGAGCTGAAACGTGGCCTCTTTCTCCCTACCACTGTAAGGCAGAGAGGTAGGGAGGAAGACAGGACACAGAGTAAGAAGACAGCAGAGGAATGTTGGGCTTTCTCACCTGAAGGGCAGCATGTCAGGCCTCAACACTGTCTGCAGAGTCTGCATGCTAGTTTCCCTCCTGGCTAGAGAGCTCCAGTCTTGAGGACAGATGCATTGTCATCCACTTTCACCCAGAGACTTTAGAGT